AAAGTAATATAGTTTCTGTGGGAGTTTCTCTAACCGACAACCACCACTATGAGCCTAAGTGGTGATACATCGTCTTGCCCATGCTGTCAGAACTATCTTATACTTTGCCGTCATATAGAACGCTTAACTTAGTGGATCCACTAGTCTATGCTAAAAGCATCTTAAGGATTCATCTAAAAAGTATGATCCTTTACTACTCATGATGGCTACATGGTTTATAGAGACTTGAGTTGATATGAACTCGCATCCCCATATCGGTGCTTAATACTACTCCTAAAATATTCTTCTCTCCTTCTCTGTTTTCTTCTTCTCTTTTTCTTCTTTTTGTTCTCCTTCTTCTTATTCTCCTTCTCCTTCTTCTCCTTATCCTTATCCATCTTTTCCTCTGTCTCCTTCTTCTTCTTCTTCTTCTTCTCATTCTCCTTCTCCTTCTTCTTTTTGTTCCCCTTCTTCTTCTTCTTCTTCTCATTCTCCTCCTTCTGCTCCTTTTTCTTCTTCTCATTCTCCTCCTTCTGCTTCTTCTTCTCCTCTTGCTCCTTCTTCTTCTCCTCTGCTCCTTCTCCTTCTCCTCTTTTTCCTTCTTTTTCTCCTTCTTATCCTTCTTCTCGTTCCTTCTTCTTCTTCTTCTTGTTCCTTCTTCTTCTCCTTCTCGTTCTCCTCCATTACTGATCTCAGTATCTTGGCTACCATTGTTTGCCCTTTGCGCCATTGATCTCATTTTTTCTTTGATTTGTATCGCGGAAGCTTGATGAATTTTCCAGACTCTGATCTTCAAAAATCTGCCTTATACACCTGATCTACTCAGACTTCGATCAAGGCGATGATACCATGAAGGTTTACAAATTACAAAGTTGTTTGTAGAGAAATAGAAGAATGATCTTTTAATAGATTTTGAGAAGAAAACAACATAATTTCATATAGCTGAATAACGGCTATTTATACATGAACTTCTCCTTTTACTCTTAGCTCTAGAATGTAACTAATTGTCTAACAACTTTCTAACAGATTAACTAACTTTCTAAGTGTAAACTTGAAGTGTAGTTTCTGATTCTTTTTTCTAATTTATGTCAACAGATTCAATGTTTGTTTTGATTCTTATTTTTCTTTTATTATTGTATCGTTAAGTAATATTGTTAGATAACAACGAAAAGTCCTGTTTTGCGTAACGACGGATCGATTTGGTGTGATCACCTTCTTCTTTTTTTCCTCATTTTGTCTTTACTTATTATTTTACTAGTT